ATCATCAATGTGGGAACCTCAATCACCACCAATCAACCACTAAAAAGAGAAAATTTAAAAAATAAAAGGTAAGCACAAATCTTACGCAACTAACTTTAGAACAAACTGAAATGAAAGTGATTAAAAAGCATATTACTGTAAACATGACTAAAGAAACATTACAAAGAGCGTGTGTTGAACTAGTCACTATTTAAGGTGTATTCTTGTGTATTTTCAATATTATAATTGAAAACAGCAATAAGAAGAGAATTTTGGTAAATAAAAATAAACCAAAATTTGATATTTGACTCGATTTTATATTTTAACTAACCAATTTAAATTGTTTTTGTTTTTCAATTTTAAGTTTTAATTTCAACCGGAACTGAACCGAAATTTTTAGACGAACCTAAAAAGAATCTGGAACGATAAAAATTTACTTGGAACGTAACCGTAAACCGGAACGAAATTAATTTCGGTTCGACTCTCTAATTTTAACATATAATTTAACCAGTTTTATAAAGTTAAAGTACAATTACTAAAACAAAATACATAAAAAAAATGTTATGTCAGCTATCAAATATCGCTTATGTCATAATGGTTTTGACAGGTAAAAGTTCAAAAATTACCATTATCGATGATGGATAAACAATGAAGGACAATTAGTTCAAAATAATTTGACAATTATTGAATATCTATTATAACCTATAATATAACAAGTTTTATATATCTAATGAATAAAACAAAAGACACTGAACGAAAGCTATGACAGCTGTCAAATATGACTCTTAAAAGCTATCAAACTATAAATATTGTTGAAAGTTGAACTTCCCGGATTTGGCTATTGCTTTTTAATTTTACAAAAAGATTAACAGATAAAAGTTGAAAGAATATCATTATTGTTACTATTTTTCATTTGACAATTATTGAATATCTACTTTAACATATAATTTTACAAGTTTTATGATGGCAATGAACAATGAATGAAACAAAAGACATAAAACGAATGCTATGACAGCTGTCAAATATCACTCATAACGTAAAGGGTTCTGAGCCGTGAAAGTCCAGAAACACGGTTTATGATGAAACGGAACGGTTTTCTTTATGGTTGTGTCACATTTATTTTGCTTGGGATGCGAAGAATACGCTCCTGGAAAATAAAAGAAACGTTGGCGCCTACAGAATTCTATTGCATCCGGGCCCCATACAGATTCTGCGGCGCCATCTACATCGTATCGATCTCATTCAACGAAGCGAATGCGTATTTGTTGTGGTATAAATTCCGTTTATTTATTTTTTTTGTTTTGTTTAAATTTTACGATTCGAATCCGTAATGAATCTGGTGCGGATGCAATTTCGAAAATGAATTCAGAACGGGGCGCGCACGAGATTCGTATGCAAATCTCTAGGTTCCTTTGTTATTGGTATAGTTTGCATCGGCAGATCCCACCCGACGTAAACTATATACTACGTCTTAGATGAGATAGATGCAGCTAAGCGTGCGGAAGACTTATATAGGATTTTATGGTAAACAGTGTAAGTCTTCTTTCCGTCCGCATTCTTTTGTGTTTTTTTCGGTTTATCTGCACGTCTTCATCGGCTTTCGAACTACAGAATCTTGTAGCGTTAAATAACCATTTTATAATTTCTATGTTCATCGATCCACGTAATTAATTAGAACAGGGGCTGCTGCATGCACTGAATGAACCAGTGTTTCCATTCATGCTGACCGTGCAATTAATTAGTTATTGATCTACGGATATTGTGTGTGTGTAGGCCAATTATTAATACCAATTTATTGGCGGTTTGTAAGCGCGCCTTACAACTTAATTACATCATATGAAAATCAGCAGTGAAAATCATAAATTATTGACTAATTGTTTTCACAAAACTATAAACTTTTAACTACTTTCCAACTTAAATTATCGCTTCAAACCATTGATTAATTAACTTATGTGACTATAAAAATATATAGATTATGGAGCAACTAAACATATGACATATGTCGTAAGTATTAGAAGAATTCATACGAAATATGAGACATTTTATATAAATGCAGTGAGTTATGGAATTTTTATAGTCACCAGTACTTCTGCCTCGCCCTGTATACTTTTCTAAAATGTATTGATGCAACTTTAGAGGCTAAACATATAAATGCAAATAAAGCGATGTATCTATAAGTTTCCCATAAAGAAAGATAATTGTTGAATCGTTTTCGATGGAAACGGCTTTTCAATTCAGATCCTTGGTTTCGTCGACGACACTTTGAGTTTCGCAGCTCCGTTTCATTGCAAATAACCCGTCTATGTAACTGAAAGAAAATAGCGTCGTAGTGTTTATTTAAAGACACGCTCTTCTCATACAGAGAATCCCATTCCGTTTTCAGCAAATAATAATTGAAAATTTGCATCCGCAAATAGGTGATTCAATTTTCCTATGAAGAGTTCGCTTTCAAAGTCTGCATTTATGCATACAAAAATGGATGTTCGCTTACTTTTGATCATTTTATCGTATGATTTCAAATAGATCTAATAGTTTTTTTTTTCAATTTTACATTTTTACATTGTATAAAAATTAATATTACAAAAAAGAAATACGTGAATATTTATATTTATTTATATATTCTTTAGATTTATTCTTAATATTCTACAGTTAATTAGAAAATTATTTTCTATTTATTTCTTGTGTTTAATTCATGATTTATTCAAACAAATGTTGTACTTATTAATATTTTGTTTAAAATGAAAAGAAAACATGTTTTTTTCATATGGTTTTAAACAAGATTTGTTCTTTAAAATATGTATTCATTTAAATTTCTAATATTGATTCTGAGATCATAAAAATAGCAAAATCACAGACTGTTGCCAAACTCTTATTAAAAGCATCAACAATCAATCATATTCACTTATCCGCAGGCGATTAGTAAAAATACGTTTATACACTCAGCCACTTTATATTTAGCCAGAATTTATTCAATCCGCTGCAGAATTGATTCATCGTCGAAATTTCTACTTTCCTCTTTTACAACCATGTTTTTTCCATCTAAATCCTACCCATGTGGCCCAATAATCAAATAAATCACCGAAACTCTTCTCAAGTCTGCGCAGACTATTGAAACTTGAAAGAAAAATCACCAACCAAACATCTCAAATTTATTAATGCAACTCAACTTGCGTCATACATAGGAAACCAATTAGTTTTAACAAAGAATAAGTTTCAATCATTTTATTAATTAAACATTGTTTTCGTCGTGTTTCTGTAGCTTTTGGCTACGTAACGTTATTACCGTATGTTCAGGAGAAAACGCGTTATTTCCGACTTAATTTCCGCTACGGAATTTTAATCGCACGCAGCGCTGTTAACTTGATGGAAAACATTCGGTTTTTGTGAAAATGGGTCAGTTGTAATGCGTTTCTGTTTGTGGAATGAAATAAAAAGCTGTTTGTTTATACACAGATGAAATATAATTGCGGATGCGCCAGGTATTTTTTTTTAATTCGATAAAATTATTCAATTCAATGTTTAAATATTGTTTATGGGCGAATGGTTAAGTTGCTCTACTCACGAGCTAGTGTGCGCAGGTTCAAATCCTGGTCAAGACAGGCCCTTTGTGAGCCCTCTCGGTGCTTGCAGCAATAGGGCCATCATTCAGCCAAGTCGATGGACAATGACAGTGTTAAGGATAGCAGCAGATTCACAGTCAAAGGAAATAGTGGAATCGCAGACAGATTGTGAATAAAATTACACAATATAAAAAAATTGTTTATGGTTGAAAATCGATATTTTATTTTAAACAGAAAAGTCTTCTCACTGAACAATTAAGTAACAAACAACTAGTCTTTTTCCATTGTGATATACTACATTTATGAACAATATATTGAATGTAGATATAAATGATTTCCGTTTGAAATAATATCTATATCGATAACTGTCTGTGCGCTATGCGGAACGGCAATTATATAAGCGTGAAATATGCAGCGTGATCGCAGCGAAATCCTCTCCATTAGGTTAAACTGTTAATTGCAGCATGCACGAAATCCGCCGATTGCGTTGCGGATAAATTCATTTGGCTAACGGCCAGGCATGCGACTCATTAGAGAATCCTTTGAAATTTACAATTTACAGTTAAATTATCATCAAAAATGTTATTCAGATTTACGAAGAAATAAACGGATCAAATCAATATTAGATTTTAAATGAGATCATTACTTAACACATACTATTTTTTTTTATTTATACGTGACATATATTTATTACTTATATTTACTAATTTCAAAATTAACCAATGGCTGCTAAAATTGCGCAAGATGTGTAAGCTAATTGAAGAGGAAAGATGTAGGTAGCAGCTATCTAATAAGAAAAAGTATCCATAGAAGTCTAAACTGAGTCTAAAGAATTTGATAATTCTTTGAAGACACGTATTGTGGGAATTAGACGAGAGTTTTCAAATATTTGTATTTAATCTGTTAATATGTAAATAAGTACTGTGGGGTTTAACAAAATATATATAATAAACAACATTAACGCGTATTTAGACATTCCAATATTAGACAAAAAAAATGCACTATATTTAAATTCGGACGTTTTACTAGGATATCCTTTATAAATAAAATAGAATTTTTCACTCTTACCTTTAGTTTACTACAATAACGAAATAAAAAACATGCTTAACATATTTTATTTTCCACTTTGCTTTTATTTTTCTGCGCCACTTTATGCGGAACAAAAAAAATAATGGCCTGTGTAAATATTTGTTCGTGGTTTAATGATTTTCTGATTGATATCTACTAGCTGCGAGCGTGTCTGCTAGCTTTTGTGTGAAGTCAACGGAAATTCATATGCGATTCAACCGGAATCGAATTGATTAAGTTCACGAAATGGACACAAAATCTATTAATACGCTTCGATTAACGCATCTAATTACATTGTGCAGACGAAATAATAATAATAATAATTAATAGTTGTAGTAGTAAGTTTTAGAAGTGTAGATGTCGTTTTGAATGTTATCCTTCTTTTTTTTTCAGGAGTTGGTGTCGAGTAACACCAACCAGAGGAACTGGCGCGGAATCCTCATTGCATTGATGGTGATTGTGATCGTTCTGGCGCTGATCGTCACGTCCGTCGTCCTTCTGACCCCTCCGGACGAAGGACCGAGGATCAAAGGAACGCGTTTCCGCCTCCAGGACATATTGGGACACGACTTCCAGCCTTTGAGATTCAATGGTTCCTGGGTGTCAAGTATGTACCTCGTGGTATTATAACTTATCGATTGTCCTGTGTGTTGTCCTTCCTGCATAATTGAATCATCGATCGATCATAATTTACATTTTAGTAATATCTGTGATCCAACCATCGCATATTATAAGATTCCTTGAAAATCTACAATATACGCATTTATCATTATTGTTATTATTTGCATTGTAGACAAAAAAAAAAGTGTTTCTGGTGATTCATACAAATCCATTAAATGCAATATTTTGCTAAATTGTTTATGGTCAAAAACTCAGTACTATATTGAGGAAGAAAAACTTCTGTCAATTGATTTAATTATAGTATTAAATGAGTATATCGCTTTTTATTAAGTTTTTTTGGTTTTTAGAAGAAATTTATGTAATTCTAAAACCGTTTTTTTTTTCAATTAAAGAAAAAACGGTTTTTGAGTCCAAACTTAAAATACAAATATTAATGAATTGATTAAAAAATTACAAAAGTTTAGACAAAATTGTCTCTGTTATGTGAATTGAAAATTGAAATTAGTTGTAACGTTTAAACAAATACGTCTAGCTTACTTATTTCATTATGTTTTTAGACAAATATTTTACATCACACATCATAGCTTGCTTTGAAAAAATCAATTCATAAATATCTTGAAGAACCAGAAGATGTGAATTTAGAGGGTACAAAGAGAAGAACGAATACTTTCGTTCATTATTTAATGCTCTAAAGACGATGAAACCCAGCTTTCTAGAAATAGAAAATAAGTTATAAATATCCCTTTTCTCTATTTATAATGTAAAAAACCGGTTTTGGAGAAAAGTTAAGATTCGAAAACCGGTTTTTGTATAAACCCTACTTTTTATATTTACAGACGTATATAAATAACTATATTACTTATTCCCAATTTTCAGCAACTCCAACTTACGTTCGTTACATTACTCGATGATTGTTTGATTACAATAGTAGATTTGCATGCTGGTTAAATCAATATTTAGTTGATAAATTGTAATTATATTGCAAATATATTTGTTCGATTACTTATTCTTAAATTTCATTTTAATAAATATTCTGGCAACAAATCATTAATACAATAGGAATTATAATTACGTGGATACACATTTTCTTATATTTCTTATAGTTTTCAATAAATTTGTTCAATTTAAAAACGTTATTAAGACATAAAAAAGATTAAGATTTTTACCTATAAAAAAATGTTTGTAATTCTTTGTAAACCAATGATGCAGTTATATGTGTGTATGTAGACGTGGCGTATTTTGCGTAATCACTTTTTGATGGGTCGAGTCGCTCGATTTCGATGGCAAAGTCAATTTGCGGATTAAATCGCAAATGACGTTTAGAGTGGATAACGCGGAATGCGAACACCCTTCGACGTTTTCATCATCATTATATTTTTTGTGATTTGTTTGTTTGAATTTTTTTGCTCCTTCAAAAACAACGCGTGCCGAATTGAAATGAATACGTTTTTTTTTTTTGGTTTTTTTTTAAATGTATTGCTGCTAATTAACGTCACAAACGCGACGTGATTTAACCCGAATGCCAAATTTATTATTCATTTCGTTGAATTTCCACGAAACACGCGAGGTCGAAGGTTCCATTTGGGCCGTATCGCGGATCTCCGCGGTGCCTTATATTTATGCATTCATACCTCCTCGGGGTTAACACACCGATAGGAAACATCGCCGTCCGCACACGATATTAGCCGGTTCCTGATTTATTCAATTTTGATCTAATTTTCTCGAACGTGCCGTCAATTCTCCATGCTCCCCCCTCATACACGTTTTTATTTTATTTTTTTACTGCAGACACGTTCTGCAAATGATTCTGGAAGTTTCTGTTCGTGCTGCGAATAATATAACGAACATTTTGCGTTATTTCTATGTTTTTTTTTTACTGTCGCTTCGTGGTGTACCACATTTTAGAACAAGTGTGAATCATTTATCATCACAGCTCCAATTTACTTAATATGTTAGCTATCTTTTTAAACATAACAATAGTTAATCTAAAATCTTTACACGTTGTCGACAACAATACCTCGTATAGTCCGGGTAATTGGTTTTCAATATCCTGGACTGTTTCTAACCGGACTAATCGAGAACTGCATTATGTTTACTCAATTAAAATTCAGTTTCAAACTGGACTGTAGCCGGACTAAATTTACATTTTTTTGTTGGGCCGCAATCATAGCAGTCTTGATTTGCATATTAAACACATTGAGTACTTCCATTGCCCAGTTAATATCATTACCCACAAAAACAAGATGTGCTTCCGATCGGATCTAAGACTAAGATATGAAAACAATTTCGAGGATCCTATAATCGCCGACGATTAAGTGTACTCCTCACACCGTTATCTAAATTGAAATCGTCAACGCCACTTTGCAAACTCGTGATGGCTTTTAATAGTTTTCCCCCTAGTTATTTTCGAGATTAAAAGTTGACTGCATTGAATTACGCCTTTGACGTGGGTTGACACTTCGGGAGGGATGAACGCATACGTACACCCAGTATTCAAACTTTCCGCAATTCAATTAAATTTTAATCTATCTATTAAAACATTGGACTCACGCCAAGTAACAATGTTAATATTCCTATAAAGTAAAGTTTGAATTATACACGATTGACTAATTAACTTCTTCAATTTGATAATCACCAGTAATCATATTGATCGGTTTGTCTTGTAATGAATTTTGCAAAAGTTAACATGCAATAACTTCAGTGTATTTCATTAAATATTGATGTTATATAATAGAAAGTATGCAGTGCGTGCAACATAAAATTGTTTGTTACCTGTACCAACTATACAAAATTTCATTTGTATAGTTGCATTGTGCAATAGCACGCCTGATTGTCATTTATATTTTGCGTTATTCGCACAATGCGACGTGAAATACTCCCTCTGTCCGAAAGAATCGTATACATTTGTGAAAAAAATTAAATGAAATGAAAATTAAATATAAAACATATTAAATTCATTTTATTATCACAATTTAACTAAATACAAATAATTTTAGTGTAATCCAAATATAGTTAAAGTGATATTTAGCCTTGTTGAACGCTTTTTTTGAACAAATAAATTTTGTATACATTTCAGTTAATCGACCTCCACGATGAAGTTTTACCTTATTTATTTGAGGAATTGTGTGTACAATTTTCCCTCTCCTGTTAACATAATTGTTTTTATCCAGTTTGTAATGTTATAGAAACGTTATCAAGAGTATTTCTCTCTAATTTATTAAAAGCATCTTGAACACATTCATCAATTGTGTTTGGCCAAGCTTAATTTTGTCCAACCATCAGTACAACCGTGTTCTAATTTTTCTTTGTTTTTCATACACTGTAATAGCTTCATGGTAACGTTGGTACTTTTTAAATTCACGTTATTTGGGTTAAAATTTTCCATTTTGAAATTACAGCGGTGACTATTATATTTTTATTAAAATAACTCATTTTTGGTCCTCAAATTTTAACTTAACTCAAAAGCAACGACTGTCATATATGGTACGTTATTTAGTTATCAATGTAGACAATACTAATAATAATGAATATTGACAGTTGCTTTCGAAACTCTAGATAATCTAAGATTTTCTTTCAAATGTATACCATATTTTCGGGGACAGAGGGAGTATAAATTTACAGCATAAAATGAATAATATTTAGTATGCGGAAGGGTCAAACTCTAAAAATAGATTTTATTTTCAGGTGATGAAATAATTTTCAAAGACGAATTCGGCGGTATTAGTTTGATGCACGTCTCTAACCTCTCAGTGACGTCGCTGATGTCCAACCAAAGTTACGTAAGTATTCTAACATATATATTTTTTTTTTGTAATTGATATTTTTTGTGTGCTTCGCTTCGATGCTGCAAACTTTTAATGGGTTTCATAAACAAAGTTCACTTCCCATAAATACCGCTTTTATAAACTGCTTCTATAATCATCGGAAAGCCGAAGTGGAGTGCTTTAATTAAAGTTTCGAAAGCGCCCTATGGAAATTATTGTTTTTCTTTTTGAGAGGTGAATTAATTTGTTATACTGTTCAATCGGTCCAATTATATTGAGCGCACGACCAACCGAAAAGTTTCGTTTTCGTTTGGATACACTTAAATGGACAGAGACGGATCAATAGTCTGTGTGCAGGGTCGCTGTCATTCCCTTGGTTATGGACCCTTTTGTCCAAACATTTTTTTCTTTGCTAAGTTTATAACCGTCCATATAATATGGATGTTGTGATTGTTTAAGCGTAGAGGTGAATCAATGAAATTAGGCACTTCGCTGGGATAATTATAAGCGAAACTTGATGTAGTTTAGTTGGTTTGAATGTGTACGTGGCAACGTCGCTACGTGAATACAAATAACGCTTTTCCGAAACACAAGCGTTTGTTGTTTCGAGTACGCGAAACTCCTTCACAATACATTAATGACCATTTGGACACTACCAAAACCTAACTAGATTCGCTCACTGATTTCAATTTTTTGTTTGCGAACATCCTTTTCACTGCACTACAATTCTAGTGGAATTCTCGATTGTTTTCCATTCTAACAAATTGTTACATTTGAACATAGATTTTATGTAATTTGAAAAATACCCAAATTATTTTTGAACTTAAACTTTTTTAAATTAAATATTTTAATATTTCTGAGCAATTTCTATCTTTAAAAACTAAAATTGTATCCGGCACATCCACCACTCGATACAGACAAACTTGTAATTATAGTTTTTTTATTTTAAAATCAATGGTAGTATTCACGCATGTGTTCAATTAAAATGCAGGTGTTCACACAAATGTTCAATTAAACGCAGGTTTTCAATAAAAATGCAAGTGATTTGCAGATGTTTGTTCTTATTGCAGCTACAAAAGTTTATCTCAGTTTAATGTTATCAATTATATCAATTAATTTGCTCGTTACATTACGTTTTTCTCTTGAAATCATAATTATCAATTATTTATCATGCAAGATTTACAAATACTAATTATATTTTATAATTAATAAAAATTAAAGGATAAATTTCCGTACTTGTTATCCATACTTCTTATTTTTTTAAATGTATTCGAAAATTGTTCTAAACTAACGTATTTTTTTACTTTTCATAAATTAGATTAATTAAAGCTTTGCAAATTTTAATGTTTGATGACCAAAACTTGTAATAATATCAAGTTAATGGTTTTAAACCACCCTGTATGTTAAAACCCAATTGAACTGCAACTTTTCAGAATTGCATTTTCTTTTATTTGAAATTGGATTTTATTGAACCAACAGCAAAAAATGTTGGAAAACAATTAAAAAAATTTGAATTCATTTAAAATTTTTGATACGGTCGCCTTGAACGCGAACTGTAACTCTGAGTTGGTCAACAAGCGAGTCACACGCTGCACGGATGTGTACCTGCAGAATCTTCCTCCATTAACGAAGAAGGGCATTAACACTTTGGTATTTTTTAGTACTGGCATTGGCCTGTAAAATGACTCATACTGAGAAGTCGAGCGGATTTGCATCTGGTCACCGTGGAGGCAACTGTGCGGTCGAAATGAACTGTTGAACGTTGTCTTTCAGCCATTGTTAGATTTCGTGTGCTTTCTGTGATGATGTATAATCTCCTTGAAACGTCCCCTCCTTCTAACTGAAATGTTTGGTTGTCCACGGCTTCAGAGCACCTTCCAAAACTTTTTCGTAGTAGAACTTCACATTAACCATGACGCCATGGTTCAAAAACACCAACAGAGAGCGACTATCGACCGTCACAGCCTTCCAAACTACCACAAACGGTGGTACTTGACTTCTTATGGCCATTCGAATGTCTATTTTTTTTTCAATTGGGAAATTTATCTTATGAGACAAGACGATATTTTGAAATTGGCTGCGTTCGTGCAAGCTCAACAGCTTTATTTTGAACATTGGTGAGATCTTGTCCTTTTTGGAACTTATAAGGTGAAGCCTTATAAGTTCGATTTTGATATTTGTTGCATGGTTATTATTGATTTGTTCAGCTGAGTAGCCATTTTTCTTCATCCATTTTTCATTCAATTCGAGCCTTAAGTTTCCGAACCACTTTTACCACAGATGTAGTTTTTTTCCGACCACCAAAATAGCATTTTGTAATACTACTAGCTTTGATATATGGAGACAACATTGCCAACGGTTCAAAACTTATAGCAGTTTTAAGTTGGTTGCAGTTCAATATAATATTTATATGTAAATATATTATATAATTTCACAAATAATAATGTACAACAATTTCTAGCTTTAAAAAATAAATTTACCCGGCGCATCCTCTAGTCAATCACAATCTCAATTATTTAGATCTTTTTTTATTTTAAAACTATTATTTATTATCATTTCTGAAATAAAATTATTCAATTAAAATTATAAATATATATTATATTTATAGGAATTCATATTTATTCTCTTTCCTTGGTGTCAATTTTATTTTGTTAATTTAATAATTTTCATTCTGTTATATTTTTTGAAATTTTATAAATATTAAATAAATCGCAAAGTTTTACAATAACTTGGAAATATTTCCAATTTTTTGTAACAATTTCAAAACAGGTAATTTTTTTCGAAAAGTTAAGATTCGAAAACTGGAAATTTCATGATTGGTAAGAAATGAAACTAATTATGAGAAATATCTCGTCTTTTTCAAACCCATAGTAAAATTATCAAAATTCGACCAATTAAATGCTGTGTTTATTTGTCAAAGTGATATTCCTAAAACTAACAATACTACGTTTGCAACATTCGCTGATGACACAACAATCTTGGCATCACATGAGAATCCAGCAGTAGCATTCGAATATGTACAGGAAAATTTAGATTAGCTACAAGAATGGCTTAAAAAATGGAAAATAGCAGTTAACGCTATAGAAAGACACCCATCTACCCAAAGCAACAAAAGTCAAATCTAAGCATGCATCTAGACAGAAGACTCACCTGGAAAGATCACATTCAGGCAAAGAGGGAGCAATTAAAAACAAAGTTTAGAAAACTCTACTGGCTTCTAGGGAAAAGGTCGGAATTATCAATGGAAAATAAATAACTTATATACAAAGTAATATTGAAATTGTGGGGGCCGCACCCGAACATACAAATTATACAAAGGTTCCAATCAAAATGCCTAAGAAATATTATTAGAGATCCATGGTTTGTCAAGAATAAACAAATACACGAAACTCTTCATATATATATGGTCGAGGATACAATACCAACATTTAGTAGTAGATACCAAGATAGACTGGAGTCAAATACTAATGTTTTTTCTGGCTATTGGCTTACTCGATAACAGTGAAACCACAAACAGGCTGAAGCATTGCAAACCACTAGATTTATGTATATAGATTTAAGTAATTATTAATGTTCAAATCATCATAATGGTAAACTATCCATCGGGAAAGATGGATATTGTCAACCGCGATCTTAAATTTACTCAATGTTCACATTGATGTACAGATTGTGAATAAAATTATACGACATTAAAAAAAAATGTCAAAGTAGTTTAATGTTATCGATTATATCAATTAATTTGCTCATTAAATTGCGTTCAGTTATTGAAATCGTAATTAACAATTATGAGTAATTTATCATGCAAGAATTACCAATATCAATTACATTTTATAATTTATATAAATTATTTACTGATTTTAATGTTTACTATAATTTGTTTAAATACTCTTTTTATTACATTTACAAAAAATTTAGGAAAGTTCTGTAACATATATAAATAACTGTATAACCTTCACACAATTCGCTGTCCGAAGGCCGCATGGCTAAAATAGTTAATTACTTGTTAATTATCTATCCCATCGATGGACTATTCAAATAAGCCAATGCGGGAGGAGAGTTATTTCCTGGATTAATTGTTTGGAAATAATTTTCTAAAATAGGGGTGCGGTTAGATCTATATCAGCAGGTTTCATGTTCGACGTTGTCAAATACGTAATTATTTTTGTTTCATCGTGTGCACAGCACAGCACAACGCAGCGTGCTGAATCATTAAGCGGGTTTCGCTGGTTTTCATCAAACGCGGTTCGCCATAATTATTTTGCACATTCCGAGCCGGATTCTCGTTTTACCTTAATTATCAGCAGCATTTACGGTGACCCCGAAATGCGAGTTTCAATGTTGGATAATTAATATACAGTTTCCATTTCACACGCGAATTTACAAAAAAAAAGACACACTTAACATTTACAAAAATACATTCAATAATAAAGTCGCCTCTAATTATGAACATTTTTAATTATATAAAAGATGTTTTTATTGACTTAATTATTATGTTTGTTGTCATAATTGCAAAGCAAATAACAAATAGAATTCATGATAATATTTTCAAATTATTAAGAATTTCTATGTTTTTACGTTATATTAATATGATGTATACATGTTCTTGTTCACGATTTTATCTGAGTGAAAACTTGACAAAAGCATTTATATAAAGACGTTCCAGATCTCATTTCGAAGCTTCTGTCGAGGAGAACACACATTCCTACCTTAAACTTTCTAGAGCATTGCAGCAGTGTCCTAACATATTTATCTCTATCTGAAGCATCCACAGATGTGACAGGAAATATATCTTATTCAATATTTGTAATTATCTATAAAGTTACTCATCTTTATATAAAATATTGTTCTTAATTATTAAATCAATAACCCGACGCATCCACCAATCATCCCACATTAATTACTTTATCAAAATTTTAAAAATAATTCATAATATTCATAATTTATTATTATTTATTCATGAATTCTCATCATTTCTAGGACAATCATAACACTTACTATTTTCAATTTTATATAGTTGCACTTCTGGAATATTATTTCCCTTTCTCGAATTAGAGAATGAAAATACATTTAATTTCCACTTATTTTAGAATCGATCCAATTTGATGTCTCTATTAAGGCAATAAACATATTTGCAGGCACACTTTCAAGAACTCTGGGATACACTTGTATCTCGTGTATGCAATTAATTTCATTTAACAAATCGTTAAGTTGATTTCAACTACGTGGACAGAATTTAAAATAATGTTAAATTTAAATTAAGTCTATCCCTACTGATTACATCACGCACTAGTTTCTCATTTTGTGAAGATATTTATAGCCGGTGCTTTATTAAAATCTACGTAGTTTATGAGGGGTTATGAGGAGATAAAATAATATGAATTATTTTATCTCAATTGGGCGAACACTATAATCTTAAAGTTTCATTTTGTATAAAATAAAGCGAGAAATTTATAGGGAAATTGTAATTTTATGTATGGTTGAGAAACATTGATTTCTATATACATACAAATTGTATTATGAATAATTTATTTTCATTGAATAATGTATGTTGCAGCAACGGTTGAACCCATCCAGATTTCAGTTGTCTCCGGATAAACGATATCTTCTCTTGGCTCTAAACGTCCAGAAGCTCTTCAGGCATTCGTACTTGGCCCAGTACATCGTTTACGATATCGTTACGAGGTGAAAACATTTCGCAAACTCATGTAAAACGCGTAAAATAATCGTAAGTCGTTGTTGCTTCTTCGAGCAGAAATGAATTTCCTGTCAGACCTATACCGGATGTGGAGGATCATCCGTTCCTGCTGCTGGCCGAGTGGACGCCCAAGGGCCACAGCTTAGTTATGGTCCAGGATTACGACATCTACTTCCGGCCAACGCCGATCTCGCACATCGGCTACAGAATTACAAAGAACGCAATTCCTGGCGTGGTGAGCAACGGAGTGCCCGATTGGCTTTACGAAGGTAGCACTTTGGAGACTTTAGTCTCTAACACCTTAACCCCTCCCCCAAAAAATATACTGCAATCCTGAAAACATAACAATTCCAAATGGGAATCGTTGGTTTTCTTGTGCTCATCATCTGTTCCAGAAGAGATACTCGGCACCAATAGCGCCATCTGGATGTCCCACGACGGTCACATGCTAGTCTTCGCATCGTTCAACGATAGTTTGGTTGAAGAATTGAGGTTCCCGTGGTACGGAGCTGGTACCGAAGGAAGGCTGTATCCGGACATCAGGTCCCTGAGGTATCCGAAGCCGGGAACACGAAATCCACAGGTTACTCTCACCGTCGCGGATCTCGCCGATCCCAGTAACATCAGGATGAGGCAGGTGAAGCCGCCGGTTCAGCTCTACAAACAGTGAGTGCTTTTGATTTTCTCCATTTAACTTACGAATTCTACAGGATTTTCTATTCACACATCTGGTTTTATTACATTTTCATGAAAACTCGCAACTTCATATTAATATTCACGAATATTTTAATTAGCATAGAATTCAGTGTACACCATATGTCATATTCATTTATCACGAGTAGACACGGACTGATCATAAATACTAGACGTTTCCTCCACCAATTTTTTAGTTTTAAAAGCTGAAAATACCCATATCACCAAATTGTTTTTATGTTATTTAAAAAAAAAACCTCTAACCGAAACTTGACCTACTTGACCACTGGATATGAAAATACCCATATAACAAAATTGTTTGTATATATTTTTAAACATAAAACCTTAGGGCAACTTCACCTAACCTAACATTTTCTCGGACCTACGGTACTAGAGTGGATAAGAAAATAAATACGTCTATAAATTATTGAGATGTATTTCTAAAATAAAACAAAAATCAATACATGCAAACCAAAAAGAGACATTGAGATAACGTGTAGTCATACGTTATCTCTTTCGCACCCATTGTAATACCAAAACTACTCGTTAGTGGAGATACCAGTTTCCATCATAGATCGTTGTGACCTCGGATTAGGACGTACACTAAACTCTGCTCGCGGTTGTTTCATATTTACTCGGTGGTTAACTCTAGTTGGGACATTATAGCAAATATTGTCACGCGTTGCAGATAGTGTTAACACCTAACCCGATTATGAAAATTCTATAATGATAATTAAATATTACAATTAGAGATTCACTATTATTTAGTTTTTATCAAAAGATGACAGCTGTCATTTTCCAACTCAAGATCTTTGTAGTTATACCAATTGCTGACACAAGGTGACAGCTGTCATTTCGCGATCCAACATGTTTCTTTGCTGTTATAACAATTGCTAGCAACAACTCAGCCATCAGTGCGGAATTAATTACTGCTCTCGTAGCTCTCAAAGTCCCACTGCCTACCTCCATCCCTCTTTTGATTGCATCAGGGAATCGTGACGTGTATTTGGCCCTCTCGGAATTTTCAAGAAGGTCCAACATTTTGATCTAACGTTTGCATAATTGGTTACAAGACTTCTCTCCTACTCTGTCTGTTTGATTGCGGTCCTATCATAAGCACACCATCATCAATTCCGAGACTCAACCTAATCCAGGTGTACAGAACCGCAGAGTCCCGGTTTGGCAATTGTTTATATTACTTTCCTATGTTATATGTTACATTTAGTCCATACTGAGCACGCGGCGGAAACTGGCGAATAAGAAGAGAACAATTGCTAATAGTATTTCACCAATTCTTCTTTTTGACAGAAGATGACAGCTGTCATTTTACGATCCGTATATAGAAGTTAAGCTATGGTCCAAGTTCAGCTAAAAATGAGATAATTTTATTAATCTAATTGAGATATGTTTTAAACAAAACTTATCAAATGTTAAAATAATTCTGAACGTTATTTATTTAGTGAATTTAAGCAACGTTGGCATTCGAGCTAATGGTTTATAAATAATAGCTTTGTTTTTGATATTTGCTTCGTGGAAGTTTATTGCGAACATTCGCTGCCGTCGGTCCCTTTCTATCATTGCTATAAAGTTTCAAGGACCTGAGGATTGGATTGTGGCGGTGGGGTGAGGGGGGTTGAGATTAAGAAGTTTCTTCCTTCATCGGTTCAGTAAAAGTTTAAATATTCAGAAGCCGACTTCAATTGCCAGCTGCGACTCGATTTACAAATTTTGTTTTACTTTAATGCAACTATATTTAATATAACAACCATCGCATGATGAATTCGATCTTCCGATTCGTTGCATTAATTGAATGGTTTGGGATATTTCAATTGTAATAAATCAATTTTATCACCTCATCAATACTTTATTCTACGCTCCATTTTCAACAGCAAAAGTGCTGTCCAAGTATAAAATTAATAACGAGTTGAAGAATGGCCGGACGGAAACTGCGGTCCGTTACAATAAAAGATGTAGGGATTTTGTGCCACGGGGAGTTGGAACAAAAATAAACTTTGCGCAGAGAATGGATTAATAATATCCAGGAGTAATAACGAACAAAAAAGTTAGAGGAAAGCGAGCGTCGACTCGCTTTTATATCGGATTTTACTTCCTCTGAGTTCGCGCTCCGTATACATTAATTAATTCGGTCAATTTGTTAGTCAAGACGAAAGAAACTTAAGTAAATTGACTATGGGAAAAAAATCTTTTCTACAGTAATAAAATTGCAGGATTAGGAAGAAAGCACAGAAACGAATTAAGGAAATTAATGCGGATGCCGCATTGCATCCACAAGATATTTATTCTAGTTTAATTGTAGAAACTAATAGTTTTATTTATTTTTTTTGTTCTTTTTCGAGCATTAATTTGATCGTGAATTACAGCCAAATGGTTAAAACCACAGTAATGTATGAATACTCATCACATTTCTCAAACACCCAGCTTTCATATGAATTTCATTTATTCTTATAATCTATTAAATTATTGAAAATATGTCTTTTAGTTTTTGAACTTTAATTCAAATAAGTTGAAAACAAAGTTTCAGTAAAATAGAAATGAGGTCTTTATGAAAATCCAATATTTTGAATTTCATTCCAAGTCTTGTTATTTTGCGCACACAATTTACATAAGTTCTTTGTTTGTTTCAGGGAATATTATTTCACTGCAGTCTCTTGGATCAGCCTTACGGAGATTTCTGTGGTCTGGTTGAACAGAGCCCAAAACCTGTCGATCGTGTCCGTATGCAAAACACCCACCTGGCACTGCGTCGAGGCAAGTACCACCACCACCTACCACTAAAACAGCAAAAACGTATTTCATTCAAATTTATTCAATTATACGAAATATATCTCAAATAAAAATCAATATCTTTCAACGATTTCTCGAACACAAAAACAAAATCATAAAATGTATAATTTGTGCAGAGCAATAGATAAAAATTACTTATTCTATAAAAATTATAGATAGTTTAGAATTGAAGGTAGAAATATATTAATAAAAATCTACAGCAAATTACTCTCAGAATGTAACTTGTAATGTTGTCTTTCGATGTACTCGTATCATGTTTACTCAACTTGCAATCAATCTACTTCCTGTAGCAACGGATGTAAAACGAAATACTGATACTTCAAATCGTTATAAATACAAATAGAGTGCACTTATTTACAAAATGATCTATTTCACTTTAACTACTTTTGTTTATCTAGAAAATATAAAAAACCCATAAAATGTATTTGTAATTTACAGTTTCACGGAAATTGATGAAAAGCAATAAACAAATTATTTGTAAAATAATATATTGTATTAATTGTCCGCATATATGAATTTAATTAAATATATAATTAAAAAATTAAATTGCTATAAAAATGCATGAAAAACAATAATAATAATTTATATATATACAGTGCAACCTTGCTTAACGAGTATTTCGCTTAACGAGCAAAATGAATTGTAAGAAAAATGACTTGCTTAACGAGCGACGTTTCGTATAACAAGTGACGATGAGAAGAGAAGCCCCGGATTTTGCGACTGCTACATCATTTTTAAAACTTGTGTATACATATTATGTGTATTTTTTGAATAAGTTTCACTATATTTCGAGTATTTCACTATACAAGTAAAAATCTAAAAATTTTGGAACGGATTAAACTCGTTAAGCGAGACTCCACTGTACTAACAATTGTACTTTTATATTTAATTAATTAATATGAGAAAGTTAGTAAAAAATTGAAAATTAATACATACAAATTGAAACAGTGGCAATTTACATTTGCTAACAGTATTTGCCGACGTAACGAGATCACGAGTTTGTATAAATGGGGTGTCGGATGTAGGGGAGAAGTTCAAAGAAAAAAAATAAGAAAGTAAAACGAGCGTAAAATGTGCGAAAAGTGGTAGTTTCGGCTGTCGCGATGTCCGCGATGGAACGAGATAGTGGGTTTCGGTTGGTTGGGGGATGCATGAAAAGACAGTGCGATGTGGAAAATAGACTTGGTCGTGTCATAAAGTGGCAGATTTATTGCAGGAATTTATCTATAAATTGTCCACTTTGAATGCATTTAATTTACGACCTAATAAAGTTCGTCGAGGTGCAAGAACGGCTGAAAATCACCATGGAAATAATATGCATGAAATATAATGGCCATTGAAATTTCACGATTCACATACCATGGGTGCCATATTTTTTTTTATTTAGGAAACAATTGAATGCAGACAAAAGTGCCGCAGTGTTCACAATGAAGTACAAAATCATCCTAAATCTACGGCTAATAAATCAATATTTATTATTTATGTAAAACGAAAAGTCTGCATTAACAATAAATATATCTAGACTACTTTATTTTTTTTTTACTATATACTCGATTTTCAATGCAAACGACGAAATGAAATTACATTTACACAAAGTTACTATCATTTAAGCTCGTATTTCGAATACGAACATTCTAATCTAGTTTTGATTATAACATAAGTTGCAACGTGGGTAGTATTAATAAATAATACATTTAGTATTTGAGATAAGGTTAAGTATAAATTGGTTCAAACTGTGTTTAAGATTTGAAATTCCGATAATACAAATCTAATTAAGTATATGAATATGAAATGTGAGACTGGCTGGATTGTAATTAATATTTTGCTACATTTCAGACGCAGCGAGTGTCTGGAGACGGCGAAGGATGGGTGGATATGGGCGATAGTCCGCTGTTCAGCCCAGACGGCGCACACTATATAACAGTTGCTCCGGTCAGGGACGGCAATGCTGGATACTTCAGACACGCGATGGAAGTCAACATCATGAAGAGGCGAACCCTGCCATTGACACACGGTCGCTACGAGGTGGTTCGCATTCTCGCCTGGGACCATTCGAACGATGTCATGTGAGTTGCTTTCCACTTGGGATTATTGCTAAACCATATCTTATCAATGTTGACCCTTTCCTCAGTTATTTCCTGGGAATTCCCCAGGGTAAACCGGGTCAGCAGCATCTGTACAGAGTGGCATCAGTGCCACCGCGCTCCGGCGCAGCCCTTCAGCCGCCCGTCTGTTTGACCTGCGTCCCGGAACCACCTCCATCGCAGCCACCATTCTACATCGAAGACATCCCAGTCATCACGAAAAACAAGCAATGGGATGACGAATGGGCTGACGATGATACGGTGATGACTACACCGCCACCGCGAAAGAGGAAAAATAAGAAGCAACAACAGCAGAAGCCGCAGGATGTGGAGCCTCCGTGCCTGTACCACAATGCCATCTTTAGCCCAGGTTCAGCCTCGTACTACGTCCTGGAATGTCTGGGTCCCGGAATTCCAACAAGCACTCTCTACAAAGCCAGTCTTCCGAAACCCAAGATACTGTACTACCTGCAAAACAACACGGCGCTTCGTGAACGCGTCTCTAAGATGGCCATGCCACAGATCAAATCGTTCGCCGTTCAGATATCTGATGAGCACGAAGCGTACGTGCGTCTGATCCTTCCACCTGGACTTCGAGAGGACGAGATCACCAGATATCCTCTCATCGTCCAGGTGTACGGTGGTCCCGGCAGTCAGCTGGTAACTGAACGGTGGCGAATCGATTGGAATACTTACCTTACGGGAAATAAGGATTACATTGTTGCGCAGATCGATGGTCGTGGTTCGGGAGGCCAAGGGCACAAACTGTTGCATCAGGTTTACTACAAGTTGGGCACCGTCGAGGTGTCCGATCAGATCGAAGTCACCGAGTAATTGCTTTTCTTTCTTCTTCTTTCATTCACTGAACTTTTTTCACTTGAGGTGTGAAACTATTAACCGCTTTTCTCATTGACAGGTACCTAAGAGACAATCTGCACTACGTTGACAAAAGACGCGTCGCCGTTTGGGGCTGGAGCTACGGCGGATTCGTGGCAGCTCTCGCCTTGGCTAGTCCCAACAACGTTTTCCATTGCGCCATCTCCGTTGCTCCTGTTACAAATTGGAGATTATATGGTTTGTGCTTATTAATTTAAAATAATTACGAGTTTCAAAATCAATAGGGTACTTTACATAATTGATAGTACGTGAGATATCGGGTCAATATAAAACAAGTATTCATAGCATTTGAAATGAATATCATCTTATCCAAAATAATTACCTCTATGAAACTTCTTAATAAAACAAGTTATTAATTTATTTACAAATTATTATTAATATCAAAAATACTTTTAGATTCTGCGTATACAGAGAGATACATGGGTCTTCCGAATGTGACTGACAACTACAAAGGTTACGACGAAGCTGATATTAGCAAGAAAGCCCATTTGCTAAAGGATAAGATGTTCTACCTGGTGCACGGTTCTGCCGATGATAACGTGCACCTGCAACAATCCATGGCACTGGTGAAGGCGCTTTCAGAAGCGGGAGCTCTCTTCCGGCAACAGGTGAACCAATCGCATTATCCAGACAGAATCAACTCTTTAATACTAATCCTAAATCTCAGGTTTATCCGGACGAGAGCCACGGCTTAGGTGGCGTTAAGAAGCATCTGTACAGAAGCATGGGTCAATTTCTTGATGATTGCTTCAAGAAACAGGTACCACCTGAGACCAAAGCCGGTCTTCTAAACGGCGGTGAATAGCAAACGTCCTTCCCGTGCGATCCAGACATTTCCACCCCTTGATCCCTTCTGCAGATCCTGTACATAAATAATACACCCACCAATCATTTTTTTTTCTTTAGTTTCCGTTAGTAATTAACGGATTAGTGTACATAGCGTTTGTATATATCTATACCCTTGATTTCGAAGAAGAAAACTGTACAATCCAGCTCGCAATCTTTCATTATTTACACAAGTAGAGCTTCACGGATAGCAATTGAATGTCGTATATAAATATATAGTACATAGTTATTGACATCCAGCGGATTTTCGGGTGATCAAGTGATGCAAGTGCCAAATTTTCGTGTCGCAAATTTATACTTGTAGGTATTACATTCAAATCGCAATAATTCTCGTACTCTCTCAGGTAGCAATCTGCAGAAATATACACACGTTCACTTACACCAATAAAATCAGTTGATGCAACAATCCAGTATTAGAGATCTTAAGAACATATCGGATTCGTGTTGGAACACATATGGCATGAAAGTGGATGAGCGCAACAGAGTGAGATTGAGTGAAAAACGTAGCTACAATTAGGTTTTACTATTAGCTGCAAACAATCTTTAATAATAATTAATAATAATAAAATACAAATGATCTTAATAAGAATAATAATTAGCGAATGACCAAAAAAAAATTACTAATAATTAATAAAAAAAAAATAATCGCGAGTAGTCTAGTAAGTGTAGTTTGTAAGGTTATTTTCCTCGAAGAAAAAAAACAATATTAGAATTCAAATAGTTAACTATTTTTTAGAATCAATAGGATAAATCTTTTTTCCAAATCTAAATGATGATGACGGCGATTTCTTATGTAATAGGAAACTATTATTAACGTTGTATGTATATGGGGTCCAATTCTATAGATTCCAGAACTTCCGTTTTCGGACGAATCGTAGCGGATTTCTAAATTACTTTGACCCAGACGAATCGATCGTAACAAAACAAAAATTATAATAATAATAATAATAATAAATAAAATTGAAGATGAAACAAACATAGAAATGTTCGTTGAAAAGAAACAAAAAAAAACTCGTCACAATGGCTGTAAATGAATATAATCATAATATTCTCGTACATCGTTAAATTGAAAAGTCTTTTAACTATTGTCAGTTGTATTGACGGTTAGCATTTTTCATAATAGTTAAGAATTTAATGAAATGCAACCGTTAATATAACTTGGGAAGCGTTGAACCTTATGGGTAATGATCAATCTTGATGGTTGGTTGTGATTGAAAGAAGATGGTCACGGCTCAGATTTTATTCAATTTCCCACACACACAAAACAAGTAATACATTTTACATTAAAAAAAATATATATATATATAGAGAAAAATCGTTTTCTTGTTACCTGTTCTCCTTTAAGAGTCTAACAATTAAAGACACCATTTAGGATATATTGTGATATATATGTATTTGGAGTTGACGTTGAACGATTGTATCTAAGAACAATTGTATTTTCGTTTCGATTTAATCATCAACTCTTCGTTTCTTCTATCCTCGTTCTAAGATACGTAGGCGGTATATGATCTAGTCATTTCTAGTTTGTGATAATCGATCCGAGTGAGCAATGCCGGATATAAAAACACTAAAGTTACAATTTAAAAAAAAAAGAGAAAAACAAGAAAAGTAAACACTTATTATGAGAATAATTAATATTTAAGGTCTTGTTGAACGGAGATCTACTGTGATCTCCACTTTGTACATAGGATATATATATATTTAAAAACAAAAAAAAAAATCTATTTATTTTTCTTCGTCCTTTCCACAACACACTCTCTCCACGAAACCTTCTTGTCTAGTTGGAATTCTACATTCTACAATTAATAAATACAAATGAAAAAATTATATATATATTTAACGATTATTAATGATGTATTTAAGTCTTTTAAATAATAGATTTATTGGAGATATTATTATGTGAACATTTTTGTGTAATACAATTTCATTGAATAGTTTTAAATGATTCGTTTTATTAAACCTTTCCTTTTCCAAATATTTTCATAAGTAAAATTTCCGTTTTGTTTATGTAAAATATAGTTTTGTTTCTTTAAATTTTACTGACTTGAAATAATTTTATATAAAAAAAAAACAAAATGTTATTTCTTGGCCAAACTGAGGCCAAAGGTTACGAAACAAGGATTGCGTGTTGCATTATCCGCATACCACGGAAACTGCTACGGTCCTGACAACTTCCGTTTCCGCTCTATGTCATACGTGATAAACTACTGCAGAGTTATCTTAATTAACTCAATTTCCTACTGACCTCAACCGACCAATTTATACATCGTTCTGTTCCCATTAGTTTCAACTTATTAAGTGTGTATCTCTGTTTGTTTTTGTTCATCAATTTGAAAGGAATCTACAAAAGTGTATCAACTTTTATAGATTAAGATATTTGTAAAATTTTAAAAATAATACAACAATTTTGATTGTAACAAAAATTTGATAATAAGTGTTTTATATTTTTATTACAATATTATTTTAAAAAATATTTACATGCTAAGCAACAGAAAAGTAAAATTAAATCAGTTGTTGTAGATTACTGGAGAGTTTTCTTTGATCCAATTTACGTATTTCTTTATGTTTGTATAAACACTTGGGACGCCCTGAGCTCCGCACTGATCAGAACCGAACGAAAGGATGCCAACCTATAAAATATTATTTAACATGAAGAACTTAGTGTGCTTTTATCAAAATTCTATACAACTTTAGGTCTAAGTACAGCAATAATCGAAAAATTAAAAAGAGACTTGACTGTTGACTTTAATGTATTTTAAAATTTTCAAACCGGACTATAGTGAAACCGGACTATTGCTGTACCAAATGTGTTAATTTACCTGATAATAGTATGCACCGTGTTGGACTAAAAGCGGAGCTCCACCAAAACCGGAACACGCATCATTTCCTTTCTCTCCACCAGCGCACACATTCTGCTCAGTTATCGGTAGAGTATTTCCGTAGACGTTGGAGCACTTCTTAAGATTGACAATTGGCAGATGCAAGATTTGCTGATGAACTGATGCTTCTACATACATCTGATTACCACTTAATTTCAATAATCAAGATATGAACTTACCGGATTGTGATGCACTTTTACCCCAGCCAACTAGGATCCCATTATTGTTGGTGATGGACCATGATTCCGGCAGACATATCGGCTGAGCCGTCACTAATGTAACAAAAGAAATATGAAGTGGTACAAAAAGGTTTGTATAATTACCTGTGTAATTGAGAGGTGATCTGAGGACGATCAACGCAATGTTATTCTTGTACTTGCGCTTTTCGTAACCAGGATGCACGACCACGTGGCTTATTTGAATATCCTGTACAGGAAGACCGCAAAACTCTTCGCCGCAATCGATGTCAGTGTCTGTTGAGTATTCTCCAATCCTCACATTATACCTATATACAAATATTATTACATTACAAGTATAAGTTTGTTCTAATAAATTACAGTTTGTAATTGTCGGCTTTGGCTAAGGCGCAGTGGGCTGCTGTCAGGATGACGCGTTTGTTTATAATGGAACCTGTGCATGGATACTTCACCTCCCCGTTGATTACATCTGTAAATTAGTTATAAGTTAAATGTTAGGTAGTTTTTATTATGGGAACTAAGTCTACTTTTGCTTTACCACTAAACCTACTCACATTTCATGTTCATCTATTCTTACCGTGAGAGGTCAAAAAACATGTATATAGTGAACAAAATATTTTCTCATATTTAGAAAGGTTTTATATACATTATATGCGTTTTGAGCGCATTTTTCTTTTACAAATTACAGGATTTTATAGTAATATTGTATCAAATTTTCATTTTAGGTTTAGTGTTAAGTACAACAATTCTGCTATGATTCAATAAAAAGTATAATGAATTGTTCATGAATTTTACATAATATTATATATACGTTAGCTAATGTAAAATTTGAATCACACAACTAATTGTGCTCCATGATAGAATATCCAATAATACCTCCCTTAGTGCGGCTTCGACTAGTTCTGTTTGAAAATTTCAATAAATTATTTTTTTTATGTTATTTATTTGTATGCGTTTTTAAAGTCCTCAATTAGTCCGGTTTCAAACAGTGCGAAAGCGATTATTACCCGCACTATGCGATGTAAATTTTCTAATTATTTCTTTACCCAGAAAATTAATTTTATTTAGTACTAAAACTAGAACAAGTTTGTTAATTAATTTAGTTTGATAGTGTATATTACAATAACTTCACTGTGTATACACGTGGAGATGATAACCAGGTTGTCTGTTTACATTGTTAGCGGTGTTTGTAGTTCATTATCTTTAATTATCTTTGCTTGTGCAATTAACCGTTGTATAGAACTTTCATATATAAACAATATTTTACATGACAAATATTAATTAATACAAAATAAATTAAAAAAAAAAAACAAGTATAGAAAAATACTTTAATTTTTCCTTTTGTGTAGTTTTAAAGAGCACGATTAAAACAGTGGACCAGAGGAACCAATTATCCGTACTAAGCGAGGTATTACTTCTAACATATATGACATAATACGTTTCATTGAATCAATCTAACGAAAATATTTTATTTGTTTTGTTCTCTTCACAAATGACAAATAAGTTTCGAGATTTGAGAGATGAAGGTAAAGCTTACTTTTGAATCCGATACGAACGGCCCAGGGATATGCACCTATCCCATCATAATCTTGTCCCTGTATAGCTGATTGTCCGCATAATTGTCCATCCACTAATTTATCATGATTGACTGAAGTGGCTTCAGAGATTTGCGGACAACACACTAGACCGGATCCTTGGTATCCGCATCCGAGCGACGACACCCTATCAGAAATACATTACACAACCAATTAATTACAATTGATTACATAAACATGTTAAACGCATTCTCTGTACTTCTATAGTAAAAGATACATATTTTTCTAAGCATTTCTTCGAACAAAAGCAGTCGATGATATCCATACATTCAAATAATGCACGATATTTGCTGAGCAAATGGACAATATTTACCAAAATTAGTGTTTGCGCAGTGAATCGTTAAGAAGGAAATTACCTATTGGATATTACGCATTCATTTTTGATGATCTCCTTCAGAATCGGACACGAAGATATCGGCATGCAATATGAATTTTCTGGACAGAATTTCGTGTTTGGTAATGCCCTTGAAACTCGTTTGTGATGTGCCAAAAGATTCATAGATTCACCTGAAAAAGAAAAAAAAAACAAATTTTAAACGTATATAGAAATTTTGATTTATCGAAATTGTACAAACACTCTTAAATTTATAGACTAAATATGAAAAGTAATAATATTAATGGAATGTAACCAATTTTTTGTGATCAAATTTGCAAAATATTAAAACATTAAAACATAAGAAAAATTGGTAATATTTAAAAGATATTTTATGTATACTTTATAATTTCTGTAATATTAATACAGCAATACCTCGCATAGTTCCGGTAATCGGACTGTTTGAGACCGAACTACTTGAGAAACTCGAACCTTGAACTCGTAATGTATAGACGACTAAATATAAAAAGTAATCATTTTCATGGAAAGTAACCAATTTTTTTGTGATCCAATTTACAAAATATTCCAACATAAAACATTAAAAACAATTTCATATTGATAATATTTAAATGATATTTTATGTATACTTTATAATTTCGTAATATTAATGCAGCAAAACCTCGCATAGTTCGGATAATCGGACTGTTAGAAACCGGACAAATTGAAGAACAAAAATAAAAAGCATAAAAAAGAGACGTATACAGTTTGCAGTTTAATTTTGGGAAACAAATCAATCAAAAACGTTTTTTTTAATGGACTATAGTGCGGCTTTTATCAGTCCTGATCTGATAAAAGCCGCACTATGCGAGTTACTGCTGTACAAAGTCATTAATTTGAAATGTGCAAGATTGTAAAGTAATCATAGTAAAAGAACTTAAATTTGCATGTATTGTAAAAAAAAGTTGTTTGAATAAATAATACTTTAATAAATTAATGTAACCTTTATAAATATGATTATTTTTGCATTTCAGCTTTGAACAAATTTTATGTTTTTTTTTAATAATATCTTAATTAATTACTTCCTGTACTATTTTCTCGTCTAAATCAACTCTTTTTATTAAATGTAAGTTGACGACAGTTTCAATACTTTTATTAAGTAATTGTATTTTCGTGTGCGAAGGCTAATCAAAATTACAGAGGCCAAAAGACTCAGCCGTAATTACAGACAAAGTTATTACCATAATTATTTTCGTTCGAATCGATAGATACATTTTTTTGTTTGTTCATTTTTGTTAATAATTCAGGCAATTGGGGAATGCCTGTATGCACCGTTGATTCGCCCTTGACGCCTTTTATCTTCTTTCCAATAAAAAAGTAATTACCTCCGACAAAAGAGAACCGATTACAAATAAACATACACAAATAAATAAAAATATATTCGAAATGACGCAGCAAAGAGGAAGAGCCCAAATAATTGGGTCGATGTTAAAGTCAGATAGCGTACGAAATACGTCAAATCATAGATGCAAAATACAAAAAAAGGAAAGTTTAAACTAAATAAAATGTATATATTTACGATTTGGTTCATAGTCTTATTAACCAATAGCCATTGAATCATTAGATAATTAAAATATGTTTATGTTAGAACATTTTTTCACTCTCATAGTTGCAAATTAATATTATTAAATATTAATGAATATTAATAAATATTGTCTTAGTCTAGTTTATATTAAATATTTTAAGTTTCAAATATATTTTTTACTAGAAGTATGTTAGCATTCACTTGAATATCTTATGAAAATCAAAATCTTTGTTTTTTGACCAAAGAAAAGTTTTAGTCAATAAACAGTCAACTTACGAACAAATGTGAAATTACATCTTAAAATATGAGACTAAAAATGATTGCTTGCGCTTTTATTCTATTCTATTATATAATTATTTAGTTTATCCGAAATTATTTTGAATTTACAAACATAGTATATAGACAATTTCTGTAATATAAATTGATTTGAAAACCTAAAATGTTTATCAAGTATTTGCAATTATAATATGCAAAAGTAAACAACATACATTTTTTAATATATACTAATTTCTAACTGTTTTTAACACTCGTAATATCGGCGTTAACAAAGGTTAATACGGTTTATACGAAAATCGTTTATTTATATTGAAAAATCTAAATAAATAAACGCACTTACCTGAGCAAAAAGAAATAACTATTAAGAAAATTAGAGCAATAAAGTGATTCATATTTCTATAAATAGTCGGAGCAGGTTTTGATCACTGTAATTGATCAACGATAGAATCGAGATGTTCGGATTCTGGTTCGAAACTGAAACTGGAGAACGCGATTCCAGAGTTCGTATCGCACGATTTTTGCGGGGATAGAGAGAAAACTTTTTGTTGCTCGTTACGTTTATTTATTTTTTTTTGTCCCGTATTTTATTTTTATTTTGCGACCTTCCATTTGGAAATATGCTCATACGAGTGTGACGTGACATGTCCGTTCCATTGGTCAAAACAATAATAATGATAGGTGAGAATTTACGATGACTCGATCAATTTTCATAGTAATTACACATATTAAATCCGAGATGCCTTGACAAATTCGATAATTCTACAAGCTCGTCTATTGTTTTTTTCTTGTAACTATCCCAATCCATGTAATCTTATAACAATTTGCTTACTCAATTTCCTTTTGATTCATTCGCATAATGGACCATTCAATTAACGCGTCGAAAGAAACGCGCGTCGAATTTGCATTGCCTTACATATTAGTTAATTACTTTAAGCGAGATGAAGAAATCAATGGAAGTTGAATTAAAAAAAAAGCTTTAGATAAAACCCAAATAAGTTGTGTAATCGAAACATATAATTGTGCACTTTTACACTGTGACAAAAAAAGTAAAATCTATGCATTTTCCGGATCACGCAATAAAATTGTCCATTCATTATTGAATTTGTCGCAATTTCGCGACGTATAATAACGCTGTCGATTAAATCCACACGTACATCCTGGACTTTTCCCTTCGAAATGCTCTCTGGCGGCGGCTCAATTAGAGTTCATGAAATATTCGAAACTCGTTTGGATTACGAAATCCCTTTGATCTGCATATTGCTATATATATATCTGTAAATATTCGGTTCGATGCACATTCAAAGTGAGAATGCAGTTCCACCTGAATATCCTAGCGAATTTCATATTAGCAGAGTACTTTGACGATTCAAGATGTGTTTTAATATTTTCAGATAACAACAGGTTCGACTTTGATGGTGTGCTGGGAGCTATACAGATAACTGTAAACAATGCAACTTTCGACCCTGACGTGATTTTCCACAAGTACTTCGGATGCCAGGGAATGTTGGTTAACGTCGACAATCCTGCAACGATGCTGAACGAAATTGAATATCAAATTCAGCATCATCAGGATCGGTTCAACAAACGACGTTACCTCTTCATTCCAACCGAAACGCAAGAGGAGGATATGTTTGATATCTTCAATCTTACGGCTATCGAGTTCATAGCTGATATGCTTATTATCAAAGAAAAACCAAACTTTGTGGGCGATATAGATAAGTGGGGTTTCGATGAAGATTTTGTTTTGCAGTTGTACACGCATCGGTTTGTTGGTTACGAGGACACGAACGAAAGAGTATTGATCGATGAATGGTATTCGCGTAATCAGAGTTTCCTCCAAGGTAATTACCTGTATCCGGAGAAAATTTACAACGGATACGGGAGGAAATTCAGGATCGCTACGTTCCACTACAAACCGTACGCGATTCCAGGTTTAATCTTCGAAAATTCAATATCTTAATAATATTGTGTAATAGCTCTAATTTCCAGAAACTAAAGAGGGTACGGAATTGCGTTTAGCCGTTGAGTACTCTTTGAAGCATAATTTGACTTCTGAGCTGGTGATTGACGACGTTGGGGAATGGGGCGAAATCTACGATAATTGGACCGGGTACGGTACCTTGGGGAACGTTCTCATGGATAAAGCTGAAGTTGGATTAGGTAAATTAATAAAAGTATTGATGCAATTTACTTTTACTGAATACTTTTGTTTATTCCAAGCTTCAATATGCACATGGTACCATGAATACCATTTCTTGGACTTGTCAAAGCCTTTGGTGCGCACCGGAGTTACCTGTCTAACCCCGGCTCCAACGTATGTAGCATATAATCATATACATATTGTTCATCTTAAAGAGTTACTATCAGTTTGGCAGGTGGATGGTTGGTACCATTATTTCCGTTTACTTACGATATGTGGATCGCAGTCATCTTTTCGTTCATGGCCTGTTCCGTTGTCCTCTTCCTATTAGAATACTACAAAGCCAGAGGAAATGTCTTTGCCGAGTAGTTTGTAACTTACAATATGAAACTCTGTATTTTAGAAATCTTTATTAACAGGTTTAGAGCCAAAAAGATGCACAGATACAGGACAGGAAGCGACATTATCCAAGAATCGTTCCTTCTGAATACAGCTGTTTACTTGTTGCAACCAATTCGAGAACGCGAAAGGGTTAAAGGCGGTAACGGAAAATACATATACGGAGCTATGTTCATTTTTAGTCTGCTCATTGCTAGTGGTTACAGCAGCGGTTTGGCTAGCAGTTTAACAGTTCCAAGGCACTTAAACCTTCTATTATTTATATATAAATTAACTAGATTTTATTTTATTCACTATAACTATTGTTTGTAGATATGTAGGAGCGATTCGAACTGTTCAAGATTTGGTGGATAGCGGAATTCAATGGGGAGCAACCTCTATTGTTTGGATTTTGACAATCATTGGAGCACCTGAGGTAAACTTAAACTACAAAACATTAACTTTTACAAAGATTATTCATTTGCTTTGTATTGCAGTATAATGATGTGATGTTGGTTAAGCAATTTGTTATCGCTACTGCGGAGACTCTGAAGAAGCAAAACAACAAAAGATTTGCCTTTGCCGTAGAACGATTGCCGGGAGGTTCAAACGTCCAACATGTTTTCTAAATTATATCCACTAATTGTAAACGTCATCAGGTTATTACGCAATCGGCGATTATATAACCGAAGAGGGCGTGAAGCATCTCCGACTGATGACGGAAGATGTGTATTGGGATCACTGCGTTTCCTTGGCGAGGAAAAGCTCCATCTGGTTGCCAAGTTACGATGAGTATACTCTGAGGTTGGCCCAGACCGGAATTGCGCAAGTTTGGGAACATAAGGTATTCAATATGATTACAATAATAATTATAAATAAATATTTAACGTTTCATTGCAGATTGTTATTACGCATTTGAATGCAAAAATTCAGAAAACTGTTAAGCACTTTAGTCAGCACGAGGAGCAGAACACAGAACCGGTGAAATTGACTTTAGGTCACGTTGAAGGAACTTTCGTGATTTGGACTCTTGGAACTTTCACCTCTATAGTTGTTTTTGTCGTTGAGCTTTGGGTCGATAGAATTGCAAAGAAAAAATTGGTTACAGAATTTCACAATGATTAAATATATAATTTAGTACTTTAAACATAGTTTTTGGTAGTTCGTAAATATGCTAAATTAATAAAACCAAATTAGTTAATTTTTAGCCCACAATTACTAATTACTATCTATAATATATAGACTTAGACTATAATATATACTTGAAAGCTTTTAGAACAATACTAAACATGTTTTATGTACAATTTACTTAGAATTTCTTTCGTCTCAACCATTTCTTCAGGTTTAATGGCAATATAGTTATATTCTGTAAAATAAAATATAAATCGATTTATTTTAAATTGTTATACTTAAAAAAATCTAAAAAGTAGATAGTATAACTTATAATTAAAATAAGCAGTATACCAATTTGCATCTGCTGTAGAATTTCATTTAAAAACAAAATTACTTAAAATCTGTTCAAAAACCGAAATAATTATAATACATTTTGTTCTGAAAACATAATAAAAATATCTAATTTACAACACGTAAAACTTTATTGCTTATTTATTTAATCTAATATAAATAATCTTCCTCATTAAATATGATTTTTTTTTAACTTTTTATTTTTATTTAACTATTTCTTGGTAAATTGCTAGAAAAATTATTAAATGATAAAATTTTATAACATGTAAACGATATTAATTACAAAATACAATGCATATGCACGTGTAGCAAAGTTAATTATTTATATTAACTAATTAATGTTTAATTAATTGTACTTATTAATTATTCTTGATTAAAACTAAGTGTTTCTCCAAATATTGAGCATTGTTTAAAGCAGATATCAATTGTGTCAACGTGTGTAAATACTAACCAGTTTTTTGAATAATTATGTTCTAGAATGAAAATTGAAATACATGACGGATTAGCGTATTAATATCTAACATTTATTAATACTTTCATTTAAACTTAGACGCAATATTTATTACCGTAATATATTATTAATGTACATTGTTCACATTAATAAGTCGTTCAAAACATAAAAATAACTTAATTCGATGCAAATTGGACAACATTTTCAGTTGAAGTGGGTTAGTCAATTGGATATGTAATAAAAAGTAAAGATAAATGGGCGCAATCCATAAATCGAGATTGCGTTTTATGAGACATGAGAGTCATCATCGTATTATATCCATTCCACTCGTAATTATGTTTGCAGAACAATTCGTAAAACTAACAAGACAACTCCGTTATTTAACCGCAGCAATCTCCACATATAAATAGAAAAAAGAAAGAAACAAAGTGGTTACATGAGACAAGGCTGAACGATGTTGCTTCTTCAAGCTAACATCTTAGCAAACGTGATCCTACAGAATTACTTTCAAGACACTAGATGTCTTTTGATCTTTTCAAGCAACGACAATTTCAATTACATCGGGAATCTGCCGACCGTAAAATTTGAGAATTTGCATGATGATGCGGTCTTCAATTATTTCGGTTGTCAGGGTATCGTCTTGGCTCTGTCTGAAAATACGGTTGCGTTCTTTGAAAACCTCGAATACCATATACAGCATAACTTGCCCAGATATAATAAACGAAGATACCTGATCTTAGGGGATTTGGAAGAGGATGTGCTTGATATATTTGAATCATCAGCCGTCGAGTACGTTGCAGATCTATTGATCGTGCTCAATACTGAAACGGAGAGAGATATTTGGGGGATCGAGAAGGCCGCGAAATTCGATTTGTACACTCATCAGTTTGTCGGGCCTCGGCCCAATGTTAAAGTGTTGATGGACAGATGGGAATCGGGGACGGGTTTCCAGACAGGAAGCAATTTGTTCCCGGATAAGCTGGTGAATTGTTTAGGAAGGAACTGGACAATAGCTACATTCAGCTACACGCCGTACAGCGTTCCAGGTATGTCGAATTTGCAATGCTCGTTTCGATTTGTAATTACGAATTTGTGCCCAATCATCGCCTCGTGTTGAAAGCCGCCAGAGAAGGAACGGAATTGAAGTTGGCCATTGAATTCGCTAACCACATGAACTTAACATCTGTTTTACTGGTGGACGAGGAAGGAGAATGGGGTGAAATCTACGATAATTGGACTGGTTACGGTATCCTCGGAAACGTCATGTATGATAATGCTGACGTTGGTTTAGGTCGGTTGAGCAATTAATTTAAACAATTTGATTTAATGCTTGTTTATTAGGTGCATTGTACACATGGGCGCACGAATATCTATTCCTGGACTTATCCAAACCAGCAGTCAGAACTGGAATTACCTGCATTGCTCCTAAACCTAGGTATAACAATAAACAATTAAAAAACCCAAAATTAAAAACTTTTCAATTCTAATCTAAGACTGTTTTTTTTTTTTTTTTTTTTTTT